GAGGCCTCTCGCGCTCCCACGGAGGCAGGCCCCACAGCGCCAACTCCAGCGTCACCAGCGGTGGGAGCGTGCACAGAGCATCGTCGGCATGCTCAATGGATAGCTTAAACCAGGCAGGGAAGGAGGTGATTATGCCCCCCTCCGTTTCGTCAAGCTCACCGTCCAGCCAAGGCCAGCGGCGGCGTGCAGACGCGCTTGGGAAACGCGGCGGCGGCCGAGGGCGGGGGCGGAGCCGAGGAATTGTCCGACCCCTGCACGTGAATAACATGGCTTCCCATCCTGTGGCTGGCCATACCGTGCACCCTGGCCTTTCCGAGCCGCAGGCGGGGCAGGGAACGCGGGCGCCCTTCCCGAGCTCGCACCTGCCGACGCTCTCCGACCCCGCCCTTCTTTGCGCCGACGCGGCCTTAGATGCAGGCGCGTCTTTCTACGGCCTGGGGTCCGGTCAAGAAGGTGATGACTGTAGCATGAGCCAGGGAGCCTCCGGCAACCATCCGACGCGCCGCAGCTTTCTCTTGAACCCCGACGGACCCTCTCTGCCCCTCCAGCACCCCCACCAGGCCTCGCAATACCATTCAAAACGCCCGCGTCAGCAGCAGAATCAAGAAGAGCAAACCCATGTCCCCTACCACGCGTTGAAGCAGCCAGCACAGCTGCATTTCTCCCCAGGGCGGCATCCCGCACCGCACCATCAGCTTCCAGCACATGCCTCGGCGACCTATTTGGTCAACCCCACGCAGACTGTCATGGAGAGCTTTTTGAAACTCCACGCCCAGTCCCGTATTTGCCGCGGCAAGACACTGGCGGTCATGCGGTCGTGGGCTCTCGCTTACTCCAAGGGCCTCGGCGCCGCCGCCCTAGGAGACAGGCTCAGCGTGCTCTCGGCGGCCTTGGGAATCGACTGGAAAACGGCTCTGACGGACCCGGCGACTGTCGAAGAGGCCGCCAGGGCAACGACAGGGAGCACCGCGCCTGAAGCGGTGGTGGCGTTTGAGCCGGCCCACCTCGACCCGTTCTTGCGGGCGCTTTATACGGATGCCAGCGCAGCTGCAGCCCTGGTGGCATGCCAGGGTCACACACAGCTCCTCGGCAACGCCCTTTTCTCTCGCGATTTCATCGACCCCGCCTCATGCAACGCAGCGTGGGTGCAGGTCCGAGAGCGACAGCAGGAGGCAGGCACGGACCCGATGGACATCTTGGGCGGCCTCCTCAGTCGGGAGGACCAGGGGGAGTTCTTCCACTCGGTGGGGGCCATGCTCTTCAGCAACCCGCGGCCTTGCGCGGAGATGGCGCACATTGCTCGTGTCCTGACCCGACAACGGGAGAGTATCCTGGCCTTGGTTCGTGTTCGGTTCCATCTGGCGGATGGGGGGGGCTACTCGGCTTTCGTGCTCAGCTTCCAACGGTTGCCTTGCAGCTCGCGCTACATCCTTCCCTCGGCCGCTGTGACGCCCTCTGTCTCCACACACTCTGCAGGCCAAGGACCAGCTAGGACGGCAAGCAACGGATCCACGAGCATCAGCTCCTGCACAACCGGCAGCAACAGCGGCAGCGCTGGCGGGGGGGGGGG